AATAAACACTTTTCAAATTTATTTTACATTTAAAAGAGATATTTTATTAGAGAATAATTACTTCTCATGGATTCCCAATATGAAATTTTAAAGAGATTTCAAACTTGGGCAGGGTGAATTAGGCATGTATTTGTGCAACAGATAAATGGTTTCAAACCATCCTTCCACAACCCTCTCCTCTCCTCAGCAGATTCAATAATCCATTGCAATGGCCACACAGAACTCACACACCATGCTAACTGTTACAGGATTTATTATGGAAGTTAACAGGTTACAATGCAGGATCAAAAAATGCTCAGAGGGCACAGTTGTTTCAGTGAGGACAGCATTTCCCCAGCTGTGCCCACAGGAAGGCCTCTCTCTGCCTGGCCAGTTACAAAGCTCTTTTAGGGCTACTGATAAATGACCACTGGACACACCACTCCACCATAGCCTTCAGCTCGAAGTCACTCAACTCTAGCTCCATGGATCATAAAACCTAGGCCCCCACTCTACAAATGAGCCTCCTGCCCACTGCTCTGTGGATGCCCACTGCTCTGTCTCCTGCTCTGGATCTTGACTCTGCTGCTCCTCTGCCACTCCTCTGATGTCACAATTTTCTGTCCTGGGCTGAAGAGGGTCAATGTGCAGCGATCTCAGGATCCAAATGACACTCTCCACCCTTGGTTCTTCTTCTTTGATGGTAGTGAGACGCCCCCCTCCTGCTTCTGAGATGGTTCATTGTCTACACATCAGAGCTTCAGGTTTATACAATCACAGTTAATCCTGTTAAGCACTCACAACTGAATCAGAGCATCCAATCAGCATCTTCTCCAACTTCTTATCCAGACCCATGAGACCAAAATGTTGTTTGGTGCAAGTTTACAATGACTATGGTTAGAAGAGACATTAAATGACTCACTACACCTGCAACTTGGTTTCCAGTGTTTAATAGATGAATGTGTGAGTTTGTGTAGAAGGTAACTGAGCAAATTAGAATGCAAGTCCAAAGAAAAGTTGATGAGAGCCTGAACTAATGCATGGCCAGAGGACTGGAGAAATTAAGACATAAGAATTAGGGAGGAGCCATGATTCTTCAATTCCCAGGGTCCCCTCCAGGAGTACTGGAGTCATACTTTAGCCCACACAGACATGGGCCACCCTTTCATCCCCCATTTCTAATAATAAAAATGTATACTATCATTTGCTCCCACTTGACTCATACTTTCTGGGTCTCCACTGAGGAAAACTTGAAGGTGAAGGGAGAAATGACAGAGTGTGTGGATTATGTAGAAGTGATAACTGAGAAGAAGGTTTGGTGAGGACTCCCAGGTTTCTAGCATGGGTACCACTGTATCTGGTGAGAACACTGACCAAGAGAGAATTCACAGGGAGAAGCAGTTATACAGATGTGGCAGCTGGCAGTGTGTTCTGTTCTGAACAATTTTGCTTTGAATTCCCTGTGGTATAAAGAAGTGATTTTAAGTTTTAAAATATGATTTTGAAAATATTTATCAATTAAGTGGTTTAACTTCTATCCTCTCTTTTTAATGAAATAAACAATGTGGTACTTATTAGCCTGTGGCTCAGGAAAGGATTGAGCAGGTGTAGAGGAAACAGGCTGTGTCCAACCAAACCTTTTTCTTACCTCTAGCTCCTTTCTGTTTCCTAATTCACTCTTATGGAGCTTCTGATGAGGTGGCCTTGGAAGTCCAGATTCCTAGCATGTCGCCATCTTTATTTACCATAACCATAAGAAACCCTATCTCTCACTGGAAGCCTAGAAAATTAAATCCATACCATAAGCCACCTAAGACCATTTTCTGTATGTAAGTCTCCAAATAATCCTTTACCATAATCCTGGGGTTGTCAGCCTCTTTCTTCAGTCTCAAGGCCACTTCTATATTTTGAGACAAATATCAAGTGATGTATCCATGCTCCAATAATTGATGAGTGGAAGTGAAGTTACTGCCAGGGAAAATCCCAGGTTGGTCAACAATTTCCAGGTAGGGAGATTTGACCCACAATGTTTAATGCTTGTGAACCACTGTGTATGGGGATATCTCGAAAATATCGAGCCGCATAGTATGGTTGTAGGAAAGCACACAGCTTCATAAATGTGGGAAAGTAGAAGAATTGTGAGCTGGGGATACCTGCTGTTCTGGGTAGTTCAACTGGCCACCAAGGCCTAGATAGTCATTGAAGAGCATGTTATGAGTCCTGCAGGAGGAGCTACAGTTGGAAAGAGATGTACAAAAGATGTGTGTGACCATGAGGGTCATTTTGAACAGGTCCCTTTGTGAGCAGGATGAGCAGCTAGAGAACCTCACTTGCAGGTTTGGAAAAAATAGAGGTAGAGGAACAGGTGCTTGGGGATGGCAAGTACCCCAGCTAGAGTGAGGAGTATAGAGATCCCAGCCTCTGTCCACCAACTGCTGCATTGCCACCACCTCCCCTCCATACACAGGAATAACCGGGCATTGTATTCACATCTGAGGAGCCTTTCTAAAGTATTGAAGGGCAGTGTGCACAGTAGTTCTCAAAATGTGGACTTCCACATCTCTGATGGTACATGAGATGATAAATTTATGTAGAACCAAGATAAACATCTTGATCATAACACGATTATGACAATATTCCTCCACCTCCATTGGAAAGAACCATGTGATTAACCAGAGGATAGAAATAATGGGAAAGAGAGGGAGGAAAGAAGAGGGACCCCATGGGAGTAAGAGATAAATGAGGGAATCCACAGTGAGAAATATCTGAGACAGAGATTCTTCCCCCAGAAGGCATGGAAGGAAGACGTGCAGGAAGTTCTAATGAGAGGAAACCAAAACCATTTTGGCAGGAGGGCTCCTGGGCATAAACACTGGATCTCTCAAATTTCCCCTGACTTTCCCTTTGTGGATCCCCTCTCCCTCTGGCTAAGGAACTCTGCCCACCCTCAAATGTACTCCCTACTGAGACCAGAGAGACAGTCAGAAAGGTGATAGGGAACAATCAAAAAGACCTAGAAAATGAGTCAATGAAAATGGCAGTCAAGGGCTTTTTAATTCGTTGGAAGGGGGAAGACATGTAGTTATATAGATGGGCATGTGAATCAGTGGAAGGGGGAGGACATGTAGTTATATAGATGGGCATGTGAGTCAAGTGGGACAGATCCATGGGTTGAAGAAGCTTATCTCCTCAGTGCATTGGCTTGATTTTGTTATTGTTGTTGTTGTTGTTGTTCAGTGTTGTCAAGTCAGTTCTGACCCATAGTGATCCTGTTTAGGGTTTCCAAGGAGCAACTGCAGACCTTGCAGTTCAAAACGACTTTGCAGTCCAGCATATCAACCTGCAGCATCACACCAGAACTTGGCTTATAGGGGTGGGAAATTTAAACACTATCAAAACTGGGGGCGCTATAGAGGCACAAAGTGGATGGCTTATAAACTGTCATGAATGTGCTAGTTTCAGAATGAGGGTGGTAATGTAAAATCCCCACTGAATAGTTTTCCTCTTTTCCAGATGGATCTGATAAAAGAGGATGGGGAATGATGGTGATAGGATTTTATGGTGTAATTGTTATCAAGATTAATCACCATAGCCACAACTATAATTGTAGAAACTGTGTAACTAAAAGGGGAGAGTAGTTAATCTTCCATTTCAGGAACAGATGAGTCCAGGACCATCAGGAAGGAAGAGTATGAGTGGAGAGTGAGATCCTACCCAGAAAAGCAATGATAACACCAACAACAAGGTAACTTATATTAACACATGGTGATATTCGTGTTTTTGTTGCTTTGTGCCATCCGGTCAATTCCTACTTATAACAATGCTATAGGACAGAGTACACCTGCCCACATAGTTTTCTAGGCTCTAATCTTTATAGCAGAAGACTGCCAGGTCTTTCCTCACACAGAGCTGTGGTGGGGTCAAACCAACAACCTTTCAGTTAGCAGTCAAGCATTTACCCATAGCATCACCAGAACACCTTATATTAACACAAAGAGAATATGTTTTTGTTGTTGTTAAGTGTTGTCAATTCAGACCCATAGTGACCCGATATAGGGTTTCTGAGAAGGAGCTGGTGAGCTTGAACCACCGGCCTTGTGGTGGTTCAAATCAACTTTGTAGTCCAGCACATTAACCCACAGCACCACACCAGGACTTCATAGAGAATATAGAGAGTGCTTATAACTCAACAAGGACCCCAATGAATATATTTCCCATGATACTTTAGGGGAGTGAACTAGAACAACAACAACAACAAGTCCAAGTCCAGAAAGGAGACAGAAACCATACCAGTCAATTGAAAAGAGAAATTTTTAATATAAAAAATGTCAACTAACAGCATAATATCCATCCATTTAGAGGGCACATAGACCATTCCATAAGACAGAGCAAATCCAAGGACACAAAGCAAGCCCCAATAAAATTTAAAAGAAGCAAATCATTAAAGATATCTTTTCTTACCACAGTGGGATGAAACTAGAATTTAATAATCAAAAGAAAACTAGAATATATAAATACGTGGGGGTTTAACAGCATACCACTAAACATCCAATGAATTTTAAAAAGTGTTTACTACTAAGAGGTCCAACCCACCATTTCCTAGGAAAATTCTGAACATGGACATTTCTGATCAAATTGCCCAGACCCTTCAAAATAGAGATAGGGCCCCACACTCAGAACAAAGTCAATTTGGATAAAGGAAACTATGCTACAGAGGATTCAACCCCTCTTGTTTCATATACAAACAACATAAAATGCTCAGAATATTTTTCATAACCAAAGTAAAACAACATTCCACAGTCAATTTCTACCAACACTGAACTAGCTCAAATAAAAGTCATCTTTTTTCTTCTTTCTACAGGAGCACAAGACCTAAACTGGCAATTCTTACAGTCACACATATCCAAAAGCACAAAACACATGGTTCCCAGTGCCATCCAGCACTCACCTCAAAGTCTTTCACCTTAAGGAATCTGAAGCTCCAAGACAAGCCACAGTGAAAGTAACACAAAGATAGGTCCTTATGGGGACACAGCCCTGGGGCCAGAGGGGAGTAATGGAGATTCAACCCCTGGGAGAACACCATCACCACCTGAGCCAGATCTGAACCCCTCCTCTGGAGGGCTCATGGACTCATCCAAAGAAGATGGAAATGTGTTAAGAAGCACAGGTGTACCCTTGGGCCCACCTTCCATGGAACAGATAGTGAGGGATGGGGTTCCTGAATAAATCATTAGATATGGAAAGAGGGTCCCAGAGAAGGAAATCTGAGAGAATGAGAAAATATGAGACCCATCAGTCATGTTGTAGAAGGAGACATCCCCACCATCATAGTCCAGGAAAACCCCCACCTGGCAGGGAAATTGTCTAAGAGTTAGGCTTGTATCAGGGGTAGCACAGGCACAAAATCCACCTATAAAATGTCCCACAACCCAAAACCCCTTTTCTGGGCACAGTCTGAGGCACCCACCCCTATACACATCTTCCCTACAAACCCCCACAGCCCAGCTGCTTGTGACTCCATCTCTGACTTTCACTTTCCAGTAACATCGCCCTGACGTGATGCCCTTGGTGCCCAACACAAGGCATCTGTCATCATTCAGGTTCTCACAGTTGTCCTTCCAGGTCACACTCATGTTTTCCTGAGAGAGGGCAAGGTCAGGATGGGCAGACTGTGGATCCAGAGTGACAGACCCTGTAAAGAGAGTTAGCAAATCATGCCAGCCCCTCCCCTGCATTATAATAAGGACAAAAACCACCTTCCCTCAGACCTACTTAGTGCCATGATGAGAGGGCTAAGCACCTGAACTGAGAGCTAGTGATTCCAGTCCACAGCCCTCCATGCAGGATATTGAACCGAAAGACTGATTTGGGGGTTAGATCTATCACAGTGCCCAGTTTGGAACAGTTTGGACTCCCAGGCCTCAGCAATATCTAGTTAGCAACCAACATCTGTCACACTCTCTAGCCTCAGCACATGACTACCACCTCCACAACCCACCCACTGTTACCAATGGTGTCTGCATCTGTGTCACCACAGAGAACCGAAGAAGAGACCAGAAGCTCCCAGACAAGAGGAGCTCCCAGAAAGAATTTCCAAGTCACTCACAAGTCTGGAATTGCTCCTTCCGCCAGTCTACAAGAGAACCACGATTTCATATCAGAATATTACAGATTTTACACATCAGTATCAACACCTTTTCTTACAAAACACAGTGATGCAGGAGTCCTAGGGGGAAACGTTTTGAAAACATAGAACTGATGTATTTATTTTTTTCTTTCTCTCACACACCTAAAAAATTCACTTTCCCACAAATCCTCACAGCCTTCCCAAGAAGGCTACCCCATGAAGCTAAATACACAAGGATTGAGAGGCTCTAGTAGGATAGTGGTTATGAATTGGGCTGCGAACCACAAGGTCAGCAGTTCGAAACTACTAGCTGTTCTGTGGGAGAATGATAAGGCTTTCTGCTCCTGTAAAGATTTATAGCCTTGGAAACTCTGTACAGGGTCACTATGAGTCAGAAAGGACTCCATGGCACTTAACAACATACATAGTATGCTTTCTCAATCCCTAGCCAGGCAACTATGTTAATACCTAAGTTTTGTTGAAAAAGAATTGAGGAAATCAGAATTTCCAAGGCTACTGTTTACTTTTCAACAGTTGATTGAACTAAACTTCAAGGACGGCTATAAACAATGGATAGAGAGAAATACAAATGGCTGAACTGAATTTACAAAATAACTGTAAGCCATGTTGTTAAGTGCCATGAAGTAGGTTTGGACTCATAACAACTTGGTATAGGGTTTCCAAGGCTTTAAATCTTTTACAGAAGCAGAAAGTCTTATCTTTCCCCACACAGAGTGGTTGGTGGGGTCTAACGACTGATATTGTGATTCCTAGTCCAATGCTTATCCTATGGAGCCATTGCATAACCTGACTGTAAACCATAAGGGAAGAAAATTCAGGATGTGGCAGAAGCTGACCCAAATTAAAGGCAATAGAGCAATTTTGAGATAAGAACAAAGAGAAGTTCAAAGCATAAAGCACATTCACACACCAAGAGATCAGATACTAGTGACCTGTCTTACTCTCTTCATAGGCAGTGGGAGCAAATACATTCATATATCCACCGGAAAATTGAAAAATATTGAATCTAGTCATCTCCTTTATTCAAGATTAGCCCAGAGATAATGCAGGCTTCCAGGAGAAACCCCATTTTGACAAATAGAATACCAGTCCCAAAGATGCCTATATCCTAAGCCTCCATATCCATAGGACCTGTGACTATGTTACCATGCATGTTCCTCCCTCCCTATGATCACTAATTCAACAGACATGGTGGTTGTTGTTGTTGCTAAGTGTCATTGAGTTGAATCCAACTCATAGTGACCCTGTATAAAGTTTCCAAGGAGCAGCTGGTGGGTTTGAACGGCCAACCTTGCAATTAGTAGTCCAATGCTTGTCCTGGAGTAAAATCTGCTGAGTCTATTCAAGTGCAGATTTAAGAATAACTTAAAATTCCTCAATACCCCCTTAGACTTGAGACCATAAAAGGATGGTGGTTCATTATCAAGGATTTCTTAAAGAGGATCAATAATCCTCTTCATCAGTCTTTGTAATACTCCCGCATTCCTGTGAGAACATCTAGCAATCAGGATGGGAGATTTGTTCAAGATTTAAGAGCAATCTATTGTAATGACTACCCTCCATGTCTTATTAGCTAGAAACCTGGTGAAATAACAGTAGTGGATTTATGTAATGCATTCTTTAGCATCCTGGTACATCAATATTAGATTGCTTTTACTTGGAATAATCAGCAATTTACTTGTCATGTCCCAAGGTTTTAACAGTCCCACCATTATTATTTTCAGATTCTTCATGCAGACTTACAATACCTGTAACTCCCTAAGAAATCAATATAAATAATCCTTTACTTTGCTCTACAAATTGCACTGTTTGTATTTCTAATGGCATTTATTTTCATACCCATTACTCATAAGGAACATAAATCTTCTGTTCTGTAGTAAATTACTCTTCTAGACATAGTCTTTGTAACTCCAAATGGCTGAATGAAGCCATGCAAATAGGGTCTATGGAATTCTAATGTGAGAATTTGTTCATTCTGCCATCCTAATAGGTATAAATTAAGCCATCTCAGAAGCAAGAAAAGGAAATCCACTACCATCACGAAAAGAAAGTCAGGAGCAAAGTAAGTTCTTTGGACCCTGAGATCCTTACACACTGAGGATGTCAGTCCATCACTAAGTCAGAGCTTTGACAGGAGAGAAGTGGTGGAGAAGCAGCAGCAGCAGAGGTGGTAGCAGTAAGAGTACAAGGCAGAGTGGCAGCTGAAATGGAAGCAGAGATGATGATGTGGAGCGATGGAGCAGCTGGAGACTTTAGATCCAGAGAGGGAGA